TGGAGAGATGGCTCGGAAGTTAAGAGTACTGGCTGCTCTTCCAGAGGACCCAGGTTCAATTCCCAGCACCCTCATGGCAGCTCACAACCTTCTGTAACCCAGTTCTAGGGGATCTAGCACTCTGTTCTGGCCTCTGTGGCACCAGGCACATACGGAGTACAAAGACATGCATGCAAGCAAAACAGCCATATACGTAAAACAAAAGCAATAACTCAAAAGTTAATTAAAATACTTTCATCATTTCCCCCTGCCCCAACCCTTCCCACATGTTCCCCTTCCTCTCAAAGACATCATCTCTTTTCCTGGTTATTGTTACACTCATATTAATATAGATGCCTACATGCATAAGGACAACCGGCTCAGTCCCTCAAGTGTTGTTGGCTTTCTTACCAATGTGCCCAGCTGCTTGAGAAACTCAGCTACAGCATCCTGGCATCTGCAGTGTGTTCACTGCAACCATGGCTGGGAGGCCAGGATTCTGTTACAATCCCAAGGTCTCGTGCAGACTCATATGAGTCCAACAAGGGCTTCTCAAGATCCCCCCACTTTTCTTGTGGTCTCTCCAACTCTTCCTCTTGGTGCTGATTAGTGAACTTGTAAAAATCAAGTGATATGGAAGTGAGAGACAGCTAGCAGGGATGACATAGGTCTACCGTGCGTGCGTGCGTGCGTGCGTGCGTGCGTGCGTGCGTGCGTGTGTGTGTGTGTGTGTGTGTGTCTGTGTGTGTGTGTCTGTGTGTGTGTGTGTCTGTGTGTGTGTGTGTGTGTCTGTGTGTGTGTCTGTGTGTGTGTGTGTGTCTGTGTGTGTGTGTGAGTGTGCCTGTGTGTGTGTGTCTGTGTGTGTGTGTGCCTGTGTGTGTGTGTGAGTGTGTCTGTGTGTGTGTGCCTGTGTGTGTGTGTGTGAGTGTGTCTGTGTGTGTGTGCCTGTGTGTGTGTGTGTGAGTGTGTCTGTGTGTGTGTGTGAGTGTGTCTGTGTGTGTGTGTGTGTGAGTGTGTGTCTCTGTGTGTGTGTGTGTGTGA